TAATTGGCATCTTTATTTCAAACGACCCGACCGACCGCGACCCGAATATCATTAAAAATATTTTTGGATGACTCGTAACCGCGGGTGACCGCGGGTGACCGCGGGCACCCGCTCATTTCGGGTCAACCCGCGCATCACTGACTGGAATGTATTCAGAACAATTTCAGTTAGTGGCCAAAATGCAGTACTGCATGCTGGTTCTAAAATATTTAGACAACATGAAAGATTCAAGGGTGTGAACATAAGAACATAAGAAATTTACAAACGAGAGGAGGCCATTTGGCCCATCAAGCTCATTTGGGAAGAACTTGTGGAAAGCCAATAAGCATTCCAAGAAAAAGTAAAATGTAGATGCATGCAATCAAATAAAAATAAATTAATTTAATGTAAATGAGGGAAAACTACAATAATATACTGGCCAAACAATACAATTAGAAATTAAAAGAATGGCATATGTTAGACATCCTCACCTGTCTCCTCCCTGTCATGACCCAAACCAGTTGTTTAACTTGTTTACCTCTCTTCTCTTGCATCTTGTTCATAACCCTCATGTGGAAATCACTCCCAGATGTCTCTTTTTAGCCCCTTGTTAGTCTTACAGACCTGTTTGATTCGTCATCCTCAATCCGGTCATTAACATCAGTCCTCCTGTTGCCTGTGCCCATCCTAGAGTTAGTCTTTTCATTTTGACCCCTCACAGTCCTGTTTGTTTCCCTGCTCCTGTTTTGGTCCCTTTTTTTCAACTGATGCCTGCCACAAAGTCCTTTGTCCTTCACGTTGTGATACTTTGATACAGGTCTCTTTCTGCTCTTTCTGCTTTGTTGTTTGCTTCAGTTCTCTGCCTTCCATCCAGCTGGCTCCTTTTTTGATGGAGTTTAATCAATCCATCCATCCATCCATCCATCATATACCAGTTATTCGGGTTGGGTCGTGGGCGTAGCCGTCTAAGCAGGGAAACCCAGATTTTCCTCTCCTTGGCCACTTTGTCTAGCTCCTCGGGGGGAATCCCGAGGCGTTCCCAGGCCAGCCAGGAGACATAGTCTCTCCAGCGTGTCCTTGGCCTTCCACGGGGCCTCCTCCCAGTGGGACATGCCCGGAACACCTCACCAGGGAGGCATCCAGGAGGCATCCTGACCAGATGCCCAAGCCACCTCATCTGGCTCCTCTCGTTGCGGAGGAGCAGCGGCTCTACTCTGAGTCCCTCCCGAATGACCAAGTTTCTCACTCTAAGGGAGAGCCCAGCCACCCTGTGGAGAAAACTCATTTCGGCCGCTTGTATTCGCGACCTCGTTCTTTCAGTCACTACCCATAGCTCATGACCATAGGTGTGGGTAGGAACGTAGATCGACTAGTAAATCGAGAGCTTTGCCTTTTGGCTCAGCTCTTTCTTCACCATGACAGACCGATGCAGCGCCCGCGTGACTGATGATGCCACACCGATCTACCTGTTGATCTCTCGCTCCATTCTTCCCTCACTCGTGAACAAGACCGTAAGATATTTAAACTCCTCCATTTGGGGAAGGAGTCCCTCCCCGTCCCAGAGAGAACACTCCACGCTTTTCCGGCTGAGGACTATGGTCTCGGATTTAGAGGTGCTGATTTTCATCCCAGCCGCTTCACACTCGGCTGCGAACTGCTCCAGTGAGAGCAGAAGGTCACGGTCTGATGAGGCCAACAGAACCACATCATCTGCAAAAAGCAGAGACGTAATCCTGAGGTCACCAAACCGGACACCCTTAACGCCTAGAAATTCTGTCTATAAAAGTTATGAACATAATCAGTGACAAAGGGCAGCCCTGGCACAGTCCAACCCTCACCAGAAACGAGTCCGACTTACTGCTGACAATACGGCCCAAGCTCTGACACCGGTCATACAGGGACCGAACAGCCCTTATAAGGCAGCCCGGCACCCGATACTCCCGGAGCACTCCCCACAGGACTCCCCGAGGGATGCAGTTGAATGCCTTCTCCAAGTCCACAAAACACATGTAGACTGGTTGGGCAAACTCCCACACACCCTCCAGGACGCTGCTGAGAGTATAGAGCTGGTCCACTGTTCCATGGCCAGGGCAAAAACCACACTGCTCCTCCTGAATCCGAGGTTCGACAATCTGGCGGACCCTCCTCTCCAGCACCCCTGCATAGACCTTACCAGGAAGGCTGAGGAGTGTGATCCCCCTATAGTTGGAACACCCTCCGGTCCCCCTTCTTGAAGAGGGGGACCACCACCCCGGTCTGCCAATCCAGGGGCACCCGCCCCGATGTCCACGCGATGCTGCAGATCAACCAGGACAGCCCTGCAACATCCAGAGCCTTGAGGAACTCCGAGTGGATCTCATCCATCTCCGGGGCCCAGTCACTGAGGAGCTTTTTAACCACCCCATGGAGTTTAATGTAAAGGTAAAATGGAGGCCAGCACTGCATTGTTGCAATAGAAGTTTAAGCTCATTACTAAAGGCAAGTTCATCCCATATCACAGTTCCTCACACATGCTGGCTCTCAGAAGAGTACAGTAATGTTCTCACTCTGCTCTGCCTTATCAGTGTCACCATCATCATCATCATCATCATCACCATCATCATACATGCTTAATAGCTTGATTATCAGAGGCAGTGGATTAGCACCCCAACCCATTATGCTGTGTTCATTTCCTCTTTAACACCATTTCCTTCCTCTCCTCCTACATTGCATTTTATGGGTACAAAGGAAGCATTGTTTCAGTAAGATCCACCATTCCATCAGTGGAGGACATTACATAGACATATGATAAACCAATTAGACAGAACCAAGCTATGGGCAAAGACACCATCATAACCACCAGTTGGTTGTGTGAACATAAATATGACCATAAATGTTTCCAGAAATAGCAAGTGCAATCTATCAATAAACTATGCTGTCCAACACAGCCCCTTTGTCCTGAAGCACATCATTAGCTGCCTGGCAGCCAGACTGGGCCATTAGTGAAGCTATTAGCCACAAAAATGCATCTATAGACTAGAGAAACACAGCCAGAACTAATTACCTTGGATTTGTCATTGATAATTTAGTGCTCAGACTTCTCCCACTTTTGAATGAGCTGCTGATCCTGTTTTTGTTTCTGTCAAAGAGACCCCAGAGTTTCCTAAAGTCTCTAAAGGGTCCAGCCCAGAAGCAGGACCTGCTCATCTCTATGAGCCAATAAAAGCTAAATTGTTGATGTGTATGGGTGAATGGGAGCAGCCCGAGGTGGACCTGAAGCATACTTGTGGGCTCTCACCTGCACTGGAGTTCAGCTCTTCGTTCTCGGACTCCGTTCCATTCTGGCTGCCCACCCCATGCAGGCTGTTCATCGCCATCAGTTTCATCTTCTGAAGTTTCATGGCCTCTGCCACTGCTGCAGCTGTCAGTCCTGAATTCAGATAACACAGTCAAAACTCAATACAGCTGCTGGAGGCCATGGGTCCTCAGAGAGCCTCGCACAGATGAGCCATCTCTTCTGTCACTGTTACACATAGTGCACAACACAGATGCAGTTACCAGTAAACTAGCAGTGCATGATAGCAGGGATAAAATAAACAAACCCCCCCTTTAAGAACCATAAAGTCAGACACTTTAATCAAACAATAAATACCCCTAAAACACTAAAACAGAATGAACACCAGCAAACTTAAACACTGACAGAGGTAATTCATTTACAAATCAACATACAAGTGAGCAGATAGTACATTACAAGTAACACTTAAGCAAGCATCCACAGGACTGAACAAGGGACATTCTACACAGACAAAGACCCCTTTCAGCAGCTTATCCACAGAGCACTCCCACTTATCCAGATACCCTCCTCCTAGATTCCTCTGTGTCTTCCCCTAACTAGCCAAATTAACCTTCTGAATAACCATAACAACAGATTAACTTAAAGCTGTCACCTATTCATTATAGATACCTTCATAATGCATTACAATGGTCAGTATAAGAATAAATAAAGCATTACAGCATCTTCTTTTAACAATCATAAGGCATTATAGTGTAGATTATAATACTTAATAAGCTGTAATGAAGCTCTCACCTCTAATGCACTATAGATACCTTCATAATGCATTATAATGGTCGGTATAAGCATTAAGGATGTTTTGTACTGCATTACAAAGGTATCTATAGTACACTATAGATGAGAGCTTCCTAAAACATTTATAATCCATAACCAACATGGCTATAATGTATGTCTTTTTATAAATATTTATATCCATATTTTTAATTCTTTATGTGTGCATTATAATGTGCGATGAATGTAATCATAGATTCTTATAGACATGGCTTTCATAGAAAATGTTACCAGATTAACAAAGGTCATCTAGTTTACTTTTAGCCCAATCGCTGATTATCCTAACCATGGCAAAACTTCACATCTTACACAGGCCTGGTCCACAGGTTCCACCTCCCACTGGCTCATAATACATACCATATACACTCACCTAAAGGATTATTAGGAACACCATACTAATATGGTGTTTGACCCCCTTTCGCCTTCAGAACTGCCTTAATTCTA